GTTGTGACCGTCTTATATATACAAGACTAACATATATCTGGTAATCGCTAGAGCATACATGAAGGAACAGGATATTTCTAAAGTCAATGACGTGTTACTAGGTCACGTGACTTCCGCTGTCGTAACAATACCTTGATAAAGATGTTTATTTTTTTATATTTTGACAACGTTTCGGTCACTACACTGGGGGGGACCTGCTTCGGAAGTTAAAGAATGATTATCTACTCTGTTCATCTTATTGTTCATTATTTATCGACTGATTAAAATATTTCAAATTGTTTATCAATTATACGTTGAAATATCGTGAACATTTTTAATGGGAACAGATATACTTTACAACACACACACACACACGCAGTCATTACCAAAACTGGTATGCAAAGTATTGTTGGGTGTGCCTTCGGAGATCACGCAATTTCCCGATAAATCATAAAATAAATTAAATACTAACAAACTTCATTGAATTAATGAGCTTAACTGCAGAAGTTTTAAATAATTTCATTCACACACACATACGCGTACATGCATATGTTTGTGTGTGTGTGAAGAAGCGTCGATCATGGTTTTCTGTTCTGATTTTTCAAGACACCAACTAGGGATTCGAGGCATTAGGAAATAGAATCGGTGCACAGGCTCGGTGTGTCAGTGCCTCTGTGTGTATGTTTGCTTGCTCACCTAATTCTTGGTTAAACATAAATTTCTTTCCGATTTATGTTGGAGAATCAATAGATATTTTAAGGATTCTAATTGTGAACAATATTTATGAGAGTGGTGTATTTTGAAATGTTTATTAATTAAAATTAAACGTTAAAGATACACCTCAAACACATTGATTGTTAAAACGTAATAACCTACACATACAGAAGACCAAAGGCGTCCTCTTGACGTTAAAAATATAGTTTTAAAGTTTGGAAGCTGAAAAAATTTGTATGATTATGAAACCAAACGTATAACTTTTTATTTTCATAACACTGTAAACCCATCGATACCCCAAAAATACCGTTTAATTGTTTTGAAAATAAATAATCTAGTAAAATCATTTCAATTCTCAAGCCCTTTGTGCATTCCTTTTCACGATTTTATTCACATTCTTGTATTAATCGTGATTTAAAGGAGTTGTTATAGATATCCCCACTGTACGTATTGTTTGCTTATCATATATATTTTTAACTGATCAGGCTAACCGAGATCAGTGTATTAAAAGCACACAGCTACAAGCACGTATTAAGTATATTAAATTTTCATATAAGAAGTAAAAACAAAAGCTAACTTTCCATTTTCCCTAACTTTTATCGTTTTTCATTTTACTTGACAAGTGGTTTTTGTTTTATAGAACATAAATCCTTTAACTTGGTTTCCTCTTAACGATGATTTTATTATCATTTATGTTGATATTTCAAACTTCTTTTTCTAGGAAACAGCTTTCTAAGTAGATTAATCCTTGATTCCAAACGATTCTTATTTAGGTTATCTGAATTTATAATACTAGAGATGAGAAAAACTAGTTGACTCAGAGTTTTAGTTTCCCGCATACTCAGCTTGCTATTCATATTTCGAACTTGAACACTTGCTACTCCTAAAGTTAAGGCATAGCGATTCTCAAGTTAAAAACCGGGCGTTGTCGAATGATTAATGTGTAAGATCGTGTTCTCGCCCCATTGCAGCAAAAACGTTCTTCGCCCTTTGGGTCGTGGGTGGGCTATAAGAGTGATTGTTTGTTTGTAGTGAAGCACAAAGCTATACAAAAGGCTATGCGTGCTCTGCCCACCATGGGTATTGAAACCCGGTTTCTAGCGTTGTAATTCCGCAGACATTCGCTGTGCCACTAGTGACTGTCAAATCCCACTATTCGTTCAGACAAAAACAGTCTAGAATTTGCGTGATTCTAGTGACTACCTGCCTTCCCTCTAATCTATCAATTCAAAATTATGGACGGCTGAGTGCAGATAGTTTTTTTTCTATGTTTTCTGCAAAAGTGTTAATAAAACAAAAAACAGAGAAGAATCTAAGCAAACAAAATTTGTTCTTGTTGAAAGGTAAAATATTATTAATGGAATAGAATGATGGTTAAAGTAAAAGTCTCGCTAATTTTACCCTGCGCAAATTAGAAACATCAGATACGTTTTCTATCCTGAAATTAGACAAGCAAAAGACAATAAACGTAATTTTAAGCATACATAAGCAGTCAGTAAAAACTTTCGTTTGTAAGTGTTTTGTCAGTATTTAATATTGTGGTAGACGAACATACTATGCGTTTTTATCTTATTTGAATATTATAGTATTTCTTCTGAATCTATCATTTATTCTGTGTATGTGCAGATTTCACATAATACATGGTCAAAAAAGTCGTTAGGATTTGTTTTGTTCTTGCTGCCTTTGTTGTTCTCTCGTAGGTAGCACCTATGTTCCCAGGAGAGGAGGTGAGAACTGCTGTGATACTTTCGTTGTATAAGGATGTCGATAGCAGTGTCCTTCAGTAGTAGTTCCAGTGATATCTCGAGTTATGGCCTCATCTACGTTTGAATGAGAACTACCAGTCACGTGAGTTTCACTAGTCACTCTGGTTAAATGCGACATTTCTTGCGAATTTAGAAATGCTGGATTTATTAAGTCTTGTACATTGATTCTGCATCAATACATGAAGATAGAGAATCCAATAGAAGTGATCATACTGTGTAAGTAAAAACAGGCACACACGGTGTTTGTATTTTATAAATTATAATAATTATCACTTATTTCTTGTTTAAATTTGTCTCCTTATTTCATTCATTTTCACGACTCAGTTACTCGGAGATTTTCACTACTTTGTAATCTGTATCTTAACCGAACCTCCTGTTATTAAGCAAAACTATCCCATTTTTCTACATTTACCTTAATGGAGTGCATGGAACGTTGAATACATTTATATAACTTCGATCATACCATAGAAAGTTTTTAATACACATCTTTAACACATATAAATAGACAATGATACAAGACCTCACGAGACTACATTTCATATAATTTAAACATTGTACTTTACTCACGTAATTAGCCGATATAAATATTGTCTCAATCACTGTTAAATATTTAGTATCCCAGCCAGCCTGAAGATCCGTCATTAGCAAAAGGCCTAGAAGGCGCTGTATATAGTAGATGTGGTACGGTTGCCATTATTATCCATTCTTCTTCACTTTCAGCCAGAAGTTCTTAATATTAAATAATAATAACTGTTTGCTGGAAAGTTTCAAAACAATTTTATGTGGAAATAAGTTTTTCATGAAAGTTAAAATAAATACTTTTCCAGACGTTTGTTGTTTACTTACTTTGTTTGTTAATTACATAGATATACAATGGGCTATCTGTGCTATGCCCACCACAGGTACTGAAACCCAGTTTTTAGCGTTATAAGCTTTCAGATTTATCGTTCAGCCACACTCGAGGCTACGTGCTTTAAAAGTTTGTATATTCTCCAAATGTTTTAATAAACCTATTGCTGTCAAGGAATATTGTAAACATTAAAAAATAGGTCATAGAAGCGGAATATTAAAAACCAAAAATGTTCATTCGTCTAATTTATTCTGATTACGATAACATATTTTTATTGTTACGCACACATTTTATATACTCCATTACACAGTTATAACAGGTATTTGACAACATATTTTTATTGTTACGCACACATTTTATATACTCCATTACACAGTTATAACAGGTATTTGACAACATATTTTGTATATGAACGTTTACAGTCCTCAATACATAAACAAAATCAACTTTTTGTATTACTCATCTTAATTGCTTTGTGATGTTGGGTTGTATATTAGAAATATATGTATAAGTACATTTCCAGTATCAACTGATTGACCACACACATTAAATATTCAAGGTTCATTGTACATTTTTTTTCAATTTCATTATTAATATTCGGATGTTGCCGTGGCAGTAAATTTAATTGAGTCTATGGAAAAGTTTGATAACTATATGAATGATAAGGGTTGGCTTTAAGATTTTTAATAGCTTAGTTTAGAGGTTGGGTCAGCCGAGATGGACATTACGTTATGTTATGAAAACCACTAACAAAGATGTCATCCTATTTGTTACTGTTAGTACATGTCTATGCCAACAATAAAAGTTAGAAACATATTCAACAGTGTGATAGGTTTTCTTTTGTATTCTTAAAATAATCTAAAAACAGTGAATGTTGCAAGATGGGTTTCATAAGAACTGTTAAATAACCGAGTGAAAAGACGAGTGACTTGTATCAAAACAACACTTTCCTTTAAGCGTTAATTCACAAAGCTTTAAGTGTGGGTTATAAAATAGCATAATAAATACTGTGCCAAGGATACAAACCTTCAGCCTTAGTACACCAAAAACATAATAGGATATTTCAAGTGCACTTATACAGGATGGTTGGAAGCCTGAAATATTATTGTTCAAAGCACTGAATCACATCATACAATCAATCTGGTACTGGCAAAGCAGCCAGTTGTACCACGTGTAACTTTGTGACGTATACACCTTATCCACGTGTAACTTTGTGACGTATACACCTTATCAAAATTACACATGGCAACTTTAGCAAACACTGAGCCATCTATGTATATGTAGTCACGATAAATGGAATGTATTTCTTTAGAACCTTATTCAATATATGGTATAAAAAGGAACTGTTCCAGAAACTTCCAGTTCACATACACTTACAAGACTAAGAAGTCCTTCACCTTAAGCCAACCTTCGAAAAATATCACATCGACTCGAGTACTTGCAAGAAGAGAATCGGCTACTCCCAGAAGTCAGTTGACAATATTACTGAATACACAAAAAGCTTATAAGCAAATCAGCTGTGATTATCAAACAGTTCATTTAATATACTGTTCAAAAGATACTATAATAATACTTAACTCTTTAAACCCATAATTTAAATGATGTCCTAATAATAAATATCACCATACCTTATAAAATTTCTGGTCTATTTATTAAAGGTGGATAATAACATGGTGTTACGACAGCGGAAATCACGTGACGCTAGTAACACGTCATGAGATCCTAGAAGGATCAAGTCTGTTCCTGGCAACTCTAGTATTTTCTACGCGCCCTCTTTTTTTTTTCTGTATATATAAGCCCGGTAAATAAAGCGGAGGGGGGGGGGAGTGATGGCATAGAGAATTTGCAAGATAGACAGATAATCCAGTCAAGTTGTAAATAAAGTGCGTGAATCGCTGTGAATTATAGCCAAGTTAAAGTGACTGTGGAAATTAAGTGTATTACAAAGTTTGTAATGAGAAAGAATAAACTAGTTTTAATTAAGAAAGGACTTGTATCGCTGGAGTTTCTCGGAAAGAATTTTTTACGGGAAATTATCAAACAAGCAGATACGTAACAATGGTTTGGATTAGTTTTTAGCCAAAGAAACATATACGTTATCGGAAGCTGTCGTGGAGATTTTCGGTCTGGACGTTGATGGCGTCTGCCTGGGTTTATAGTTAAGATAAGTTTGTGCTATTTTAAAAACATTAGGAAATCATGGAAGATTTATAATGAAGGCGGAACAGAACACTCTAAAACAATTTCTTCTTACATCAAAATAAGCTAATGCGTGACCATTATCTCTACAGCTTATTCAGGATGTCCAAAAAATACGTAGGTTGAAGAAGTCTTGATACAGGATGATAAAAACCTTATAACCCGCTTTCGAAAGGTGGACCTTTCTTCTTCAGGGGCAAACTGGGAGAAAAGTCCACCTTTCGAAAGCACTCGGGTTATAGGTTTTTTATCATCTTGTATCTCTACAGCTCAGTTACTAATTCCTCCTAGTGCATTCACTCTTCTTTTAATTTCATTCACTGGAGACAGTAATTACGAATATGGTGAAAAGATATTAAAAAACTATTATGTTCTTACTCGTATTTGGCATACAAGTTTTGTTAAATCTTTAACTTAATCTATACAGTTACAAAAAATAATACCAATTATAATTATTCAAATGGTTTGATTGGTTATTAACCTTTTTATCTCTGAAAAGGATTCATTGATTTCAATTCATATATAGAGAAAACTGTAAACATTTAATGTTAGGATGACATAAATAATGTTGAACATTCTCGACGACACTACCTTGAAAGGTTTGTAACTAGCTTAGTTTTAGTTACTGCACTATTTGTTAGTATATTCAATACCATTTTAATTTTAGCATTATAAAAACAGGAGTCACCTACTTGGATTACACACGCACTTTGAAAATAAGTCTCATCATTTACAAAATTGTTTGTAGTTAAGTGCAAAGCTGTACAATGGGCTATCTGTGCTGTTGCCAACTGCAGAGACTGAACTCCAAATTTTAGAACTTTAAGCAGTCAAGCTTATCACTAAGCCACCAGGGAACAACAACGCTATAATTAACAACAGATATTCATACACCAAAAATTAGTTCCTTCACTCATTTTTCATATATTCTAATTATAGATGCAATTACACTTTTACTCAAAAAGCCATCTCAAAATCAATATAACACAAAAAAAACAAATACCATTTTGGCATAAATAACCAATATTTGTATCCAGTTAAAAACTATCAAGAGAAAAAAAAACTGTTGTTCCAAAGAGAAATTTATACGTGAACACACTCTTTTCAGGTTTTTGATATCAGGTGGTTTTCATGACACAAACATGTTTGTACCTCAGACCCTGAAAGTGATCAACACTGCATCAGTTTTAAACACAATAAACGTGTGATACATTAATATATATAAGCATGTATCCCTGTGTGTGTGCATGTTTACTGAAATGTTTAAATGGGTCACCAACAATTGAACTAAAACTACATTATACATCTTTTTAATGATACTCTAATAATGATTTCAGGTATAAATATATTATTTGAATTTCTTTCATATTTAAAGGAAATATCCAACTGCTGTGGTTAACAATTTATAAACAACTTCACCTTATATATTTTATTTCGAATGTAATCGAGCTATTTTACTGCTGTTTATTCCTTTAATTTGTATCCTGTGTGGAGCACAATTTCTTACCAAGATTCATCGTGATACCCGTTATAAGCATAGCCTGTTACCAGTGTTTTGACAACTGCTTAGAAATATTGTATTAACTATCATCAATAATTCAGATGTTCTTAAAATACTCCGGACTTCTATTTCTTCTTCAGCCAAAACAACTTAATCACATTTCTCACGGCCAGAAAAATCTGAAGTATCTCTTCTGTAAGTCCTGTCGCTACCACGAACTTGTTGAGAACTACCGTCGGCATGCTGCTGCTGAACCTGACTTCTCAGCTGTGCTTGTTTGGCTTTTATAAGCAATGTTCCTGAGATCCAGAGCCATTGACACTGAATTATATATGTCAGAAACATAAATTTCAATAGTAGTAAACGAGTACTCAAATAGTCATAAAAATGCATTCTTGTGTAATATAAAATGACTGAGAAATTTCAAACAATCTTGAACAAAAACTCCAGGGAATATGTAAATGAATTAAAACAAATGACCAGACATCAGTTTTGGAAAAAAATTAATTCAAATAGAAAATAACCTTTTTCTGTTTCGTTACATAATTCCAATTTGCAAAAGAACTTGAAAAACATGAAAAGTAGAACTTTATGCTTGAAAAGACAATTATAATAGATCAATTTCAATAAATAGTAACTAGTAATTCAAATTTGTCATTGAGTTTACACAATTTGCACTTCCAAACACATCATTTGACTCTTAAAGCATACTTTTAATTTCAGCCCCAGATAGTTGCAACATTTTCTGATCCCCACTTTGCTAATACGAACCTATTATATTCTTTAAAACCAAGTGCTTGTAGTACCACTCGTTACATCAAGTTTGACTACCAATTTCAATCAAGAATGCAGACTCAAGACTTTGTCTTGTCTTGGTTGAGTGAATAGTTTGAAACTAGCTTAAGTTTTTTTTTTATCTTACTAGTGAGGTAACTCTAGTTTACTATTGTAAACTAGTAAGTAATATTAATGGTGAAAAACTGAAATCAAGCCAAAATGATAAGAAACGAGTACGTCTAAGTATGCCATTATACAAATAATAGCAAATTTAACTGATACACCATATTAAAGTTTATTTTTTTTTACATAAAATTTGCAATTGTAATTTCCTCAAACCAATCTTTTCTAATAAGCTGGACTTGAGAGAAATAAATTTAAACTTTAACACCAGATAACCACTCATAACATGCATGAACATCAATTACAAAGTTTTAAATTTTATGATGAAAATCATACATATAATTATCATCAAACCAGATAGTTAAAAACACTGTTGTGAAACTAGGAAGAGTACGACGAGGCATTTAGTAAAATGAAGGTTGTGTAGAACATAATAAAGTTTAAACATTGTATGCCATAAAAGAATAGAGATGGTATTTAACAAGTGAAAAAATCTTATTTTTTCAAAGTTTCACATCGTGATTTTGAGAACCCTAGCACTCTTTACACTCACCATTATGAGAACAAAACTATAACAAGCATATCATAGTGGATCAGTTGATAATGGTTAAAACTTCTTAGAGAAGCAAATCGGCATATAAACTAAGGGCCGAAATCTGGTTCTTTCAAAAATGTTCATTTTTCGGTAGGAAAACTGGTCAAACAGTAATTAAGTAATTACCTTTTGAAATATATGCTGGAAATATTTTCAGAGCTTAAAAAAATGTCTTTAACTTTACTTACCACAAGGAAAAGACAGTTAAGCAGTGAAGGAGCAGCAAACATGATGGAAATGAAAACTCCACTACTGTCAAAGTACTGATCTCTGGCAAAAAGCCTGTAGGAATCATCATAAAAAACAAACAAACTGGAACTACATGCATTCAATTAACACATACTCATAAAAACTACTTATCTGTAAAATTATCCACATTAGAAAAATTGTGATTTGACAATGATGACAGAAATACTGAGAAAGAAAGAATCTGGATACTTACAATTCAAAACTTATGATGTTACTAGTAATCTAAACTGTGCAATTCTAATATTATTTTCTTGATAATTTTATTCATAGCGATAAACACAACCTCAAGAAACATCTCGAACCACAACACTAGGAAATTAAAAATTACCTACCTCCAGTTTCTAGCTGCCCATTCATTTAGGACTTCGGAGAAGTAAACCATTAGCACTGGTTGAAAGAAAAATTGTTTTCACTGTGTGAAAATACTCACAATTACATCATGATTTTGATTACAGAGCAACATCACGATATTATAGAGAAGACGTTGATGGGTTGAAGTATGGGCAGTTATAGATATTCAAAACTTCAAACAACATTAATGTTATCTAATAATCACGAACAGTTATTTCTTATTATCTAACTATGACTCTTTAATATTGTTTAGTCTGCTAAAGTCTTCAAAGTGCTGTAGTGACAAGGAAAATTCAAAGGTTTCAGTAATCAAGATTCATTGTGGAATTCTTTGTTGTTTTTTTTTAATTCAGTTGATAGAATAGCAGTTTCTCAATCCAAAGTGTAGAGCATGATTTTGTGGCAAAGTGATACAAGCCACGGACCCTCAGATTCACACGTGGCAAGTTAGCTGTGAGGCCACAGCTTTCACCCATCCTACTCAAAACAACATTTGCATCTGAAGACAAAAAAGCCATAAAAGTTAATAAACTGGGTAATTACTAAAATAAAAAATAAAGAGGTCATCCAAGGTCATTAGCCACTAGTTAGGCAGCAAGTAACTTTATGCATTAATTTACTGAACTCCAACTGACAAATTTCAAAAACTTAAATCCATATCAAATCAGAGTACAACTAGCACCACTAAATTAATTGTTTTCCAACAAGTAAAAATATAAGAAAGTAGCCTCTCAAGTATTTTCCTATCTGGGTTTAAAGAACAATCTGGTCATATGATCAATACAGACAAAATAGATATTGGAGGATAGGACATGTATAAAATAAGGACTAATTTTTGTAAAACTGAACTTAATAAAGTACGTATTTACAATACCAAACCGTGTTCTTTATATAATTATAAACAGGTGCATACAATTAATTAGTCAAGATTTACATTTCTAGCATACAAAAGACGTACATACACATTTTTTTCATTTTCATCAACTAGGTTTTTCTCTTATTCTTATTAAATGTGAATAAGTCGTGAAGGCAAGCTGGCATCCATTTCTATTTATCTATAAAAGATGAATTTTTAAAAACGTTTTCTTGTAGTTAAATGGTAAATTTTGAATTACGTTGAATGAAAAAAGTTCTTAAAAGAATATAGATGTATTATTCAGTCATGTATATAGCTGAAATAGTATGATAACATGTAATAATTTAAACAAAAATATTTACTTTGAATTTCTTTACAAGTACATGCAATATAGGATTGTTTGTTTGTTTTGAATTTCACGCAAAGCTACATGAGGGCTATCTGCGCTAGCCATCCCTAATTTAGCAGTGTAAGACTAGAGGGAAGGCAGCTAGTCATCACCACCCACCGCTAACTCTTGGGCTACTCTTTTACCAACAAATAGTGGAATGGACCGTCACATTA